ACGGAATCGCAACTTTGGCATGCTCGTACTCAAGACGTATGAGTGCTTTTGAGCTGAATTTAAAATCATTAGCTCGCGTAAGCTAATGATTTTAAATTCAGCTCAAAAGATCTCCCAGTAAATTTTCAGCCTACTAATTTGCCTGGTTCTCGTAATCATTCTTTTCCAAAATTTTTTAAGGAGTCCGTACGTAAGATCCAGGTATAGGAGAACGATGATTTCAGAGGTGGAGCAACATGTAGAGTGGGAACATGCTCTAGAAATTTCAGTTTTCTAGGCATAGTTGCTGAGTCGAAAGCGGGTGGAAGAAGAGCGAATACGCACACTTGCAGCTTTTCGTCAATATGCGCTTTTGCGTCTGCACAGATGTGCAAAAATGCGTAGGAAGGATATATAATTTCAAAAATTTCTCAGACGAAAACTATTTTTCTTGCGCATCATCCAGCATACTTTTTCCAGCTCGCATCAGAAGCCATCGGATCAAGATCGGGGTAATGATGGCGCCACATCGGAAGCGGTATCAACATTATCCACCGATAATGATCAAACCAAGCAATCATTTTTCTTTAATGATAACATTGTCGGTCAGAAGTACATGGAACCGTCACGTCTGCCAGGCAGCACACATGTCCGTGGCACACAGATAGTATGGGAACGGACACAGACTGTGCTCGAGTTACCCATACTTGGTCATTTTCGGACTTACGAAAAACGAGCGGATCGTGCACGACCAAATCCTTGGCGTCGACACGGAGCATTGATGAAAATCCACGAAATCGGTGGCTGGATTTCAAAACTGGAAAAACAACCAGTCAGTCGTAGAAACAGGAAGTATTACTACGTGAAGCCAGGCAGCAAAGCATGCAATGCACCGACACGACCGCCAATCATGATCCGGGAAAGCAAATTCCTTCCAGCCTCAGCTGTGAGCATTCCTGATATTCGTTTACAGAATGTGGAAGAATTAGCATACACCACAGCAATTCAGATACAGGAAGCTATCCAAGCGGTGGTTCTGGATTCCCATGCGAACACCCACACTAAATCGAGGGGCTCAAAGGATGACAACAGCGATAACCGTTCGACACGAACAGATAGCAGCACAACGGTGACGAAACGAAACTCTTCTGCAATTCAGAGACTACCCGTCCAAGAACCGGCGAGGAACACGACACGCTCCAGATCACTGGGTGGGCTGGCCAATCGTAGAAAACGATGAACTACTCATGAACGTGATCAGTTTCGCATACCGATATTCTGCCTCAAGCCTTGTGAAATTTGTGATCTTATAAAAAGATGAAATAAACGATTTTCTGGATGTTCGGACCAATTGAATAAACAAAGAGGTAAGATCCACGAAACTGCATATGTAACACCATTTGTAAAGAAAGTTAGGCTTCCACCACTGTCCCACTTTAGTCAGAAACCCGCTTTCACTGGTTCATGTGGCACAGCTGCTTGTACAAGAGAGCTATAACAGAATCTGTGGAATTACCGATTCGTTTTAAGTATGGTGCGGCTTAACGTACAAGGGCCGCTACAGACCTTTGGGCATCACTACTCTTGATTCTGTGCACACCGAGACTGCTTTCAGGGTTGTTTGCCTTCGGTACTGATGATGTGTTTTTTCATGGTTAACGAAAAGAAGTCCTGAATCTCCCCCTGTATCCATTTTTTCCTTTTTTCTCTTCTTCCGCATTGTCAGCTTTTTTTAGCGATAGGAAAAGGACTTCTCTCAGAACTCAGAAAAATCGAAACTGAAAACACAAAAAGAAGGAATCATTCTCGGTTTTTTTTTTGAATAAACGATTTTTTGTTCTGAAGTTTTGAAACTAAAATTTTTTCGGGCAAATTGAATAATTTGGACAGGAGAGTTTAACTTTTCTAAGTATTTTTGCAAGACAGAAAGTAGGATAGCAAAAATAAAACTGCCACTTTCCTGTAGCGATCCTGATAATTCCATTCCTTGACGAGCTTCATTTCATAGCGTTGTTCTCCAGTTATCAGTGGGAAATTTTTTTATTTGCTTTGACCAATACTGCATCGCTTACTGGTCAGCCTGCTGGTAATTTTTGGTGTTTTTTGTGACCTGAACAAGCTGATAAGATGGTGCCAGTGAATTAGCCAGGCTGGAATGCAATGCGGTGATGTGTTTTTGCACCGGGCGTAAAGTACTCAGGGCATTAGCCTGCATGAATGGTTGTTGCTTTACACCTATCTTTTGCACTCCCTAGCGTAAATCTGCTTAAATATTGCATAAAAGGAATGAACATTTTTATGCGTTCTTGCTTTGCATTTTTATGCGTTCTTGCTATGCATTTTTATGCGTTTTTGCTATAGCGCTGCTACAGCGAACAAAAATGCATATTGTCAAGAGATCGTCTGTGTGTGTGTTCGGAAGCGAGTGAAATTTGTCACCCACTTTCATCTCAGCAGTTAGAAAAGCTGGGAGGCTGAAATTTTGGGTATATATTCCAACCCCGTGTGTCATCCTCCCGCTCTAAAATTATCACTCATACGCGCATAGATCTCGTGTATGCATACTCAAAAAAAATATGTAAGTTTCTTTGGCGAGAAGGGATTTCGCGAACCAGGAAAGGTACAAAGCTGAAACTTTGCAGGGATATCCTCTGTGCATGCGCGAAGCTAAAGATTTCAGATTCAGTTGTAGCGTACGCTTGTGCAGCGCTACGATCACATCATAGCTTGCACTTGGCACTGTGCTAACTCGAAAACTAGCAGAAAAACAGTGGCTAAAATTTTATCAGGATGTTTGTCTCCCATGTAGGAAATAGTATACCTAAAATGAGTACTGACTTGCACTTGCGCCACGACTTAGGGCACTTCAAAAACATTTGTAACGAAGTGGATATCTCGCTTACCGGATAAGGTGCGAGGCTGAAAATTCCCTGCAGGTGGCATGAGAAAAACTCAACTTTACCGTGAACTAAGAAACGAGTGCATTTTGCAGCGAACGGCTGCCTCATCTTCCCCCAGCATCCAAGTACCACACTAACAACCGATCTTCATGCCGACTTAATCATAGAGCAGAGCGGGGAGGGGAGGAATATTAAAATTTGTAGTTTGACGCTGAAAAACGCATTTTAAACATTCCCGCTTATAAAAACGTTTGACATACTTGTGGTCGTATATAGACATGCTGTTATGCTGTTTGGAGATATAAGAGGCTATGAATTTGAAAGGAAATTAGACCCTACTCATTCTAAAAAAAGATGCCGCAAAGTGTTAAATCCTACTAGTGCACTCTCGTTCATCCGGGCGAATCCGAAACAGCTTAGAATTATATTCGAGTCAGTCCCTAGCACACACCTATATTTGTTTTAAAGCCAAAATTGTTTCCGATAGCAACTCTTTTCAGCAGTAACCTTTCTTCAAGACGGTCTTTACAGAACATTTGAGATAGTTTTCACAGAATAGAACAACTGCCATTTCATTAACTTCACTGTTATCTTTATCTTTTGATAATGTAACGTTTACATTTTTTGTGTCACATAACAGAGCGGGAGAATCATTGGACTGACAATTTCTTTAGGAGGTGAAACGAACGTCAAGATCGTCAGCATGATGATCACCAGACAAAGTAATAAGATAGCTAGTTACCAGCGTGGTCGGCAAACAGCCCCATGAATATCATTCGATCAAAATGTCAAGCTGTATATTGTATCTTTTGAAAACGCACAGTGATTACATTTGTGCAAGACTTCATCTGCGGAATTGCGTCGTGAAAAAGAGCCTCATTCATGGTTATGGTTTTAAGTGAGAAGCTGCGTGCTGGGCTTTGAGAAGGTGATTGCTAAAAAGCAATGAAAGCATATGCATCGAATAGATTGCTCCAGCTCCTCTGCACCAGCTTCGCTCCATAATTACAGCTAAGTTATGAAACACAGACTGCTCTCGAACATTTCCTTCATCCACTACCTCTGATCACAATATTCCGGACTTGAAACTGACGGAATTCGTTTTTAGGTCGTCTGTTGTGTAGTTACAGTGAAGAATCGAACGAGAAAGACCTTGAAGAACTGTTCCTTACACATTGTCTTGAAAACGCAATTCGAGGCAATCAGTCGCTATGAGCATGTGAAAGAGAAGAAGCTTTCTGAGCAAGTTCTCGAAAGTACCGATTTGGGTAACGTCAGATCTCGTAGTAATGCAGTTAGTCTTTTTCGAACAAAATACACTTAATGTCATTATTTCGTGAAAAGGTTAAAGCCTCCCATTCAAAGATACAGCAGTTCAAAGGAGGTAATTCGTAAAATTTTTGATTTCAGAATTTTCTCGCACCTAAAATCAGACCTTTTCTTCGGGGATAATTTCAGTGACAAAAAAATTCAAAACCCCTCACCCATCCGATTATCCTGGAGAGCATGTTTGCTTGCTTTGTGAGTTCGTTGTCTAGAACATTTTAATCAGGTTAACTGAGGGCGATGTCGAACTCTGGTATCTCATCGTGGCCAGTAACTTCTAGAAGTAACAATGTTTGAAACGAAGTGGCTTTGCGCAACAGACACCACGGACTTTTCAAGACGCTCATAAAGTCCTGCAACTCCCTCTGCTAAGAGATCGTTAAGCTGGTAAACCCCATAGGAAAAATAAGCATCAAGATTGACAGCAAACTGATCACCAGCCGATCCAGTACTGATCAAAGCAACTGGGAAAGTTGCCAGCTGTACTGTTGGGGAAGCGAGATACAAACAGCCACTGCCCGATTTATTACAGTGGATCAACAGCAAACTCTAACTGATAAGATTTCATGATATTCCAGGAATTTACTGATTGCCATCTAAGGATTTCGGAGACATATCCACCGACACAAATATACGACAAAAACTCGGTCGACCCGCATATTATCGCCCTAAGCTACGTACTCAAATTCACCGCCTTGCCTGGTACGTATACCGGTACAATCAACATCATCAAGGCAGTTGGTGTGGGTATTTCATTTTAGTTACCGTTCCCTGTACGCCGGGCCTAGATGTTCTGGACCCTTCGATCCTTGCATATCTTCAGTTGACAAAATAGCCTGTTCGATATATTTATTCCACTCCCTCAGAGGTCACCCAGTTGGCAATTCAATTTCTTACATGCACCAATTACTAATAGTTATACCTCTTCGGGATGTGAAAACAACAAATATCCAAAACAAACTGAGCGCGCTGCATTATCAGTACTGGATGTGCGAAGCATTAAGATTTCAACTAAAGTTTAAGATCTTCGCTGACAACACTCCAAAGTAACAAACACAAAATCGAATGAGGTTGAGGAGGTTCGAATTTTATGCGTCTTTTGCGTTTTTGCATTTTATACAGAGGGCAAAAAAAAATTGTCGAAAGGTTTTTCGTCTGTGTGTTTATGTATGTGTGTGTGTTGTGTTTGTATGTTTATGTTTATGTTTGGAAGCGAGTGAAAGTTGTCACTCATTTTCAACTTCGCACCCACCAAAGCTAGAAAGCTGAATAGTGGTATACTTCCATCCTATGTGCCACTCTCCCCTTCCAAAATCATCTCTGTACGCACCAAGATCTCGTGTACGGGCTTCCAAAAAAATCTGTCAGTTTTCTTTTGATGGAAAGCAATTTCAGGGACTTAAAGAAAGCCGAAAGTTTTGCAGGGATATTCTCTGTGCGTATATATGGCCAAAGATTTCAAATTCAGCTATAGCGTACTCTTAAGCCGCACATACAGTAACGCCAAAGTTCGCAGCTGGCTTTGTATCAGCTCGAAAACTAGTCGGAAAACAGTAGCAAAGATTTTGTTAGAATATTTATCGCCCATCTGGGAACTCTGTATGTCTAAATGGAGATTCAAATTGCATTTTTGCCACGCATTATGGCACGATTTCCCTCTGACTAACTGAGAGGTTACAACTTTGCAAGGATATTCTCTACTTACATGTGGTCTAAATTCAGCTTGGAGACTAAATTCCCTGCACGCGGGTATAATAAACATTTGGTTTATGGCAATCCCAAAGACGAATACACTTTGCGAATTTCGTAAGCCTTCTCTCCCGGTATTTTGTTTATTATCAAATATGCATTTTTATGCATTTTTGCATGTATGCAAATACAAAAACGTATATTGTAACGACCCACAATGTGTGTGTTTGTGAGAGTAGGTGTGCGCCTGTATGTTTATATATGCGTGTGTGCGTCGGTTTGGGTATTTCAGTTGCCAATCAAGCAAGTTCCGGTGCTGGAAATT